AAAAAAAAAAAAAAAAAAAAGAGAGAACCAAAAAGATTAAGACTATTAAATTAAGACAGTTCTGTTTTGAATGCTTAGACCCCCTCCCCTTACTAAGGCACACTAACTAAGGAGAAAGCTTAATAAGGTGTGGTCACGAAACACCCATCCACTTCTCCCTGCTGTTGTCCCTGAGCCTTTGTCCCATGCTTCTCATGCCCCACAAACATCTGATATGGAAATTGTTAGTAGCTGCCTGTGCGGAGGCCCTTCTAATTTTAGAGAGTTCTGCATCTCTCTATTACAGTTGCTCTAAATTCAGACTTTACCAGGATTTCCTCAAGCTTCTTTAACCTGAGCTCTGTCTTTTCTTAATTACACAGAGCCCAAAGGGGCTTCCTCACTTTGCAGATTTACCATTCATCCTCTGATACTTCCCACCCTGGGGCAGCTTTTCCTTTCACAGGGTGCGACAGTCCTCCCCCTTTCCCTCCCTAGGTCAGCTGCCCCTCAGAATGGAGCTAAGCTTCAGGGTTGGGAAAGGGGGTTTATCCTGCACTGATTCTTTTTGCTGGGTTGGGCTGTCTAGGTGATACTGTAGCATTGATTGATAGAAAAGTATCTTCTGTCTACCTAGGGAAACTGAGGACAGAGGGGATCCTCTGGGGTGTATAACTGACTCCAGGTCCCAAGGCTAGTAAGTAGGCAGCAAGGTTCTAACCCTGGGCAGTCTGGCTGCGGGGTCTGTGCTCAGCTTTCTCATTAAGAGACCCAGCTGAGAAGAGGAGAGAAAAGCCTGGAAGAATGGACAGGGAAGGGAAGATTGAGGGGGCAGACCTTATTTCTGAGGACCTTAAGGCTGAAATGGAAAGTTACGCTGGTTTGGGGGGCATGGCAATTTTGTGGGAAGAGCTGTGGATAAGAAGTCAGAAAACCTGAGGGCTAGCCTAGTCACTGTGTCACTGTGGTTCTGTTTCCTTATCTAAAAAAAGAGAGAATTATGCCTATTGTTACCCCTCATGGGGAAATTGTAAGACTCTATGCAACATGACTTGGAAGAAAAGCACGAGGTGGAAGAAAGTTCTAAGGACTGCCATTTTTAGATGAGTTTAGGAGGACTTTGGTTTGGCATCTGAAGGTAATAAGTTCCTATTTTTGTTTCCAGGGCACTATATTTGTATGTGTCTTGTAGAACCCACGCTTGGAAATGCTGACTGCAGACTTCAGTACAGCTGAGCCCCACTAGACACCAAGAAAGCCCACAGCTCTGGTTGCATCCTTCAACATGACCAACCCACAGTAAGTAATGTTGGATCTTCCCTCTGGATCCAGAACTATTGCTCTAAATCTCCCATAAGACGAGGATCTTCTAATTTAGGCAACCACTATATACGTTTCTTTTAGCAGGAGGCCACAGAAAACGGGGGAAACTGTCAAAGCAAGCTTCAAGATAAGAGTAGGAAGTGCTTAAGATGAAGTCATAAAAAAGGAACTGCAAGAAAATTTAGCAGTCAGGAGAGGGCTTCTAGAAGCAGGCTTTAGGAAACCAGGAGCAGAACTCTTAGGGAGAATTGTTTGTAGTTCTCTAAACCTAAGATGCCATGTGGACCAGCCACTTCATTTTACCAAGCAAGATGGTCACTTAGGTTGCGTTTTGCAGCTGGTTGGTAAGAGTCCTAAAGTGAAAACGACACTCCTTCTATTACAACACACTGTCTCTGCCTCTTTAGCTACAGGCCTGGCTGCTTTGTTGTCTGCAGTGTGAACCATTACCTATTGCCATAGTAATGCTGTATAAAAACCAACCGTAGAACCTCAGTAGAATACAACAATAAGTGCTTACTGCTCTCATGTCTGGTAAGTCAGCTAAATAGCGCTGCTGATCTTGGCTGGGATCACATAGAAATGTGGGTCTTGGCTGGCTGTCCGCTGATTTAGGTAAGTCTCTGCTTCACCGTTCCTCAACCTCCAGTAGGCTAGGCCAGTCATCTCCTAATGGTGATGCTAGAGGCACAAGAGCCCAAGTGTAAATTCACAGAGGCCTTTCCATGCCTCTGCTGGTGTCCTGTCTGCTCACATCCCATTGGACAAAACAAGTCACGTGACTGAACACACTCTAGGGTTGGAGAAGGATAGACTCTTGTTTGGATGGAAGAGCTGCAAAGTCACAAGGCAAAGGGTGTGGGCTCAAGGAGAGGTGAAGAGTCAAGCCAGAGATAGGTTTTGTCTATCATCCTGTTCCTCCTGCCCAAGTCCAGGGCATAGTTTCAATACTTACACTGTAAACTATGGGAACTTCACTTCCACCAAAGGCTGAGATGACCATGTGGCCAGAGATGGTGCTGTTCCACTACAACCACAGGCTGAAGGGGAGCAGGGGGCAGGAAAGTTAGGAAGGCAGAAGTAATTTGTTCCATGCTTTTCAGAGCTATCTCCTTTTAGTTTCAGAAACTCACTTTCCATAAATAACTTATTGATCAGAAAGTTCTATTTTGTTCAATTCAGAAATCCATAGTTTCCTTGAGTAGTCTCAAAGAAAAGAGAACAAATTAAACCCAGCATCTAATTTTAGGGAAACATCTGGGGAAGCCGGGACTCTCCCATAAACACCCACACTTTTATATCAATTGTTGAGAAACATAGAAGCCTCACACCCTATGACTGTTCCATCTACAGATCTTGAGTCATTTTGTAAATGTCACACGGCGATGAGTACTATTATCTGTGCTCGACAAGTTGCAAAAAGGAAAGGTTCAAATGAGGCCCACAAAAGAGAGCCAGGGCATTAGACATTATGTGGTCAGTTCAGGTAGTCAAGCAGCCTATCTGTGGCATTCAAATAAAAATCCCACTTTTCTCTCAGTTACCACATGACCTGAGCATAATTTACCTCTGAACTTCTGGATAACTGCCACTTGTGTATTATTGATTTGATTTCAATGGTTGGAAAAGTTTAGAATTTACAGCTCCCCACCCAAGTACAGGGACTTGCCACTCCAGAGCTACTCCAGTTTGTTCCATATTCTCTCATCCATCTCAGAGCACAGAGTGAGAAGGAACGGCCCTTAGGAAGCCTTATTCCACCTGCTCGTGTTCCATTTAGAGGAACTGAGGCCGAGGAGAAGCAGTGCAGCGGCATTGCTGGGCCAGGGCAGTACCACCTCCCACCCACCAGCAGGTATCTGGCAATTTGTGGAGGCATTTTTGGTTGCCATGATAACCACAGGCAATCACCACTGACATTTAAAGGCAAGGATGTGTCTAACAGCTAAGACCCGTCCTGCCCAAACAGCAACCCTGTTGAGAGATGCAGGGACAGACAGTTTTGCTTTAACTTCTTGGGGCTCCGTCTTTGATCCCATCAGCATATCCTTGGCCCTGTCTCATCCTGTAGAATCTGAGGGGCTGGGTCTTGTGCCAATGAATGAGGGTTAGAAAGAAAAATGGCATGAATGGTGAGAAGTTAAAAATAAATATTTGGGGCTCGGCACCTGTGGCTCAAGTGGCTAAGGCGCCAGCCACATACACCTAAAGTGGTGGGTTCAAATCCAGCCTCAGCCACCAAACAACAATGACAGCTGCAACCAAAAAAAATAGCCAGGCATTGTGGCGGGCGCCTGTGGTCCCAGCTACTTGGGAGGCTGAGGCAGGAGACTCGCTTGAGCCCAGGAGTTGGAGGTTGCTGTGAGCTGTGGTGCCATGCCATGGCACTCTGCCCAGGGGGGATAGCTTGAGGCTCTGTCTCAAAAATAAATAAATAAATAAATAAATATTTGGATCAGTGCCCAGGGTTAACAAGGGGCCAGTTTTAATACTGAGGGGGCAGCCCAGTCTGCTGGAAGCTGCTCTTGGGCTCTGGTGCCAGGTCAAATGCCAACTTCTGTGAGTTATTTGCAGTGCCCAAGGTGAGCTTGGCGGTAACATAGGAAGAGACCCACGATGAGTAGTGGGGATGTTTCACCAGGGGGCCCCCATTTCCTACTCCCAGCCTTTAAAGGGCAGATATTGAAGGACAAATTCAAGGAGGAAGGGAGTAGCAATCAGGGACAGCTGTCCCATCCCACCCCTACCCCCACCCCCTACCCCACCCCCGTCCTCACTACTCCTGAGCCCACCAGGCCTCTGCAGGTCTCCGGGTGTTGCTCCCAATTGTGAACAAAAACCTCTTTCAAAGCACCTTTACAAAGAAGCCCAAGACACAATTTAAAAGAACGTATTACACAATATGAAATCTAGTGACCCAGACCCTGGCAGTCTAAGGCATGGTTTGCTGGTTGGCAGAATTACCCATCCCTCTTGGTCTTCTCCTCCCCTTACTGAAGGACCCTGCCCCTACAGCTCATATTTTCAGACCTGAGCAGCTTGTCTTCCCATTCTTCCACTTTCCCCAACCAGTGAGACCATGGGACTGGTCTGGAGGCCTCAGGCCCGTCCTCAGCGGCAGTTAGGCAAGAGTGGCAAGCTCCATCCCCAGCCCTCCACCAGCACAGCTTAGATTCTGATATGAATCTCTCCTTTCCTTGAGGAATGAAGGAAATGTATTTCTGATCATAGGGGATAACTCTACTCTGTTGCTCCTCTCCAACTCAGGCCTGCCATAGAAGGAGGAATTTCTGAAGTTGAGATCATCTCCCAACAAGTGGACGAAGAAACCAAGAGCATTGCTCCCGTGCAGCTGGTAAACTTTGCCTATCGGGACTTGCCCCTGGCTGCTGTCGACCTCTCCACGGCGGGCTCGCAGCTCCTGTCAAATCTGGACGAAGATTACCAAAGAGAAGGGTAGGTGCTGGGACCATCAAGCTAGCTAGGAAGTCTGTTACACAGCTCCCTGGGTTTCCCTGTCTACCTCCCAAGAAGCAGCAGGAGAGGCTGGCAATGCCGAGTAGAGTGAGAGCCTGGAAGTTCACATCAGGCCTCTCAGACCCTTTTACTCTTCAGACATTATTTCCTCAGAAAAAGCCACTGGGCATAGAAAATACCTGTTGCCACTACTAAACAATCCCTTTATGTGACATTTGCTGGAAACTCTGAGAATCTTTTTTTCTTTTTTCTGAGACAGAATCTCACTTTGTCACCCTGGATAGGTGACATGGCACCATAGCATCACAGCAACTTCAAACTCCTGGGCTCCAGTGTCCCTATGCCTCAACCTCCCAAGTAGCTGGGACTACAGGTACCCAACACAACGCCCAGCTAGTTTTCCTGTTTTTAGTGGAGATGAGGTCTTGCTCTTGCTCAGGCTGGTCTTGAACTCCTGAGCTCAGGCTTTCCACTTGCCTCAGCCTCCCAGAGTACTAGGATTACAGCCATGAGCCATGCTGGCCCCCAATTTTTTTTTGAACTGAAGCACTCCTTCCTGGCCCATCCAATGCACTCCCTATATATCCGGGAACAGGAGACCTACCGGGATTAGGGACTTGCCCAAAGCCACAGGACCCATAAAGGTATGGACTTAAACTGCACTTCCCTTTATCAAGCTGACTATCACCAGCAAGAGACCAGCATGCTTAGGGCACAAGGGAATTCAATAAGATTTGGCAACAAGCTTTTTTTTTTTTTGAGACAGAGCCTCAAGCTGTCCCCCTGGGTAGAGTGCTATGGCATCACAGCTCACAGCAACCTCCAACTCCTGGGCTCTAGCGAGTCTCCTGCCTCCACCTCCCAAGTAGCTGGGACCACAGGTGCCCACCACAACGCCCGGCTATTTTTTGGTTGCAGCCGTCATTATTGTTTGGTGGGCCCGGGCTGGATTTGAACCCACCACCTTAGGTGTATATGGCTGGCGCCTTAGCCACTTGAGCCATAGGCGCCAAGCCTTGGCAACGAGCTTTGCAGATGTAAGTTCCCTCCCTTTCCAGTGAGGACATGTGGGGTATGTGAGTCCCTAATTCAAAAAAGTGGCTTGTACCTCCTTCTACTTAGTTTGGTAATCAGATTGGACACTTTCATTTCTCAGTTCACTGCAGGGGAGGGCCGCGGGAGACACACCAGTTTGATGCCTTTGTTTTATATTAGGGGTTGGGGGTGGAGCTAAAGGCCTGAGAGGGGCAGGGCTGAGTTCTGGCATCATGCTGCTGCAGTGGTCAGACTTTAGGCCCCACCAGGACCTTCCCCAGCCCCACCCTCCGGCTCTTAGACACACAGAATTGTAAGTATTAAGCAGGACCTTAGGAGCCAGTTTGGGTCTACTTTCCTCTTTCAGGTGCCTATAAACATTTTGGAATACACTGGCTGCTATAAATATAAGAACAGAGGTCAGGCACAGGGGGCTAACTCTATAATTCCAGGACTTTGGGAGGCAAGAGCTAGAAGCTGAAGTGAGCTATGATCGTACCACTATACTTCAACTTGTGTGACAGAGCAAGACTTCATCGCTAAAAATAAAATAAAATTTAAAAAGGGTCGTCAAGTGTTTTAGAAGCAGAGGAGCCTTAGCTAACGCTGAATTTACAGAACTAGGATTCCTTATGCTCATTTCTTCAAGAGATCCTCCACTTCCCAGGATAAATTGCCTGGTTGCAGAAACTACAATCCAGTGGCTTTCTCTGAAAATGTCATTTTTCCAAGTTTTGTGTATAAAGTCAGTAGCCCATTGGGAAACAAAGGATAGGGAAGCAGGTAGGAGGTGGCTAAGGGTCGCCTGCTGTGGCAGCGCTATGCTGAGCTCCGTCAAGGCAGGGCCGACTTCTCCCAGGTCTTCACCAGCTTGAAAGCCAGGCTAAATCTGGAGGCCCTGAACCAGAGCCAGCTTCACAGACCTGTGACTACACAGTAGCACAGGCCTGGCCCCGAGAAAGCTCCAAACACTTGGCTCAAATGTTCTGCTGTGTCTTGAAGTTCTTACAGAGTTCCGGATTTTCACAGGGCTCAGAAATACAGAGGGTGCCCAAAAAAGTGTACACATTTTAAGAAAGTAAAAAACTGTATTAAAATTGTAAGACTCAAATCATGTTTGACTTCTGCAATTACAAGAGATGCTCAAACATGCCTTGTATTCATCTTTTGTTATTGGTATATATTTAGTATAACAATTTTAATACAGCTTTTTTTCCTTTCTTAAAATGGTATACATTTTTTTGGCACCGTCTGTCTTTAGCTGGTGAGTCCTTTTCTGAGCGCCTAGTAAGTGACTGTGTCACTGTACTCTGGTGGTTAAAAGCGGTAGTGCAGCCTCCTAACAGGCTCTGGCTCTCGGGGTGCTGACCAGTACAGGTCTGTGGCCTGTTAAGGAACCAAGCTGCACAGTATCCCCCTCTACCACCCCAACCCCTGGGTCTGTGGAAAAAGTGTCTTCCGTGAAACCACTCCCTGGTGCCAAAAAGGGTGGGGACTGCTGCAACCCGTTCCCAAGAACTCCTTTCCTGCTCTGGCCTGAGCCTGTTAGGCCCTTTTCAAATTTACAGTCAGAGGGCGTGGAGAGCAGGAAAACCTCCAAGGATTCTTGTTTAGAGCAATGTCCACATCTGTCCCCTGTGTGTCATGGCACACGGGTGGCTCATGCTATGGGTGTGCCCTTCCAGGTGTACGCGCTGCGTGAGCCCCTCTCGGGTATATGCACCTGACAGATCCCCTTCCCAGGTATACCCCATGTGCCATTCCCAGCTAGAGCTCCTGAGAGAAGGCTGACGGAGGCCTTGCTCCATCATTTCATTTGCTTCTGAATCCAGCCTTTGCAAGGTTTCTTCTGATACAAACAAATGAATACAAATGAAGTGCCTGCAAGGCAGAGAGGCCCTTGATTTGATCTGAGTCTCCAGGTGAGCCCAGGAAAGCTGTTCCTGTTGGGTAAATAGGAAGCAGCCGGTGAAGGGATTTGCTTCGCTGCTGGAGCTCTCAGCTGGGGGGCCCAGTTGGCAGCCAGAGGGCTTCCTGGAGGAAGGAAGAGAAGGTGTGGACAGCAGCCAGGGGAAAAAATGAAGCAAAACAAAACTCACTGCACAGGGGGAGAAGCTTCTCTTCACAAGGCTTCTTGGCTCTTGCTGCATTTCCTGGGGTTTTCCCAAAATTTCCAACCTGGCCCTTTCTGAAGCCATATGCAGCAGGAGAAGGAGGCCCTGCAATAGATCTGAGCTAGGTAAGAGCCTTGCCCAAAACACCCCTTCCCACTAATGCCAGTGTTATGTACAGGGATGAATCTTTTCTGTAGGAAATGGGGAGACCTCAGAGACCCCAGCGACAAAGTGCCCAGTGACTCGGCTGCCCTACCCCAGCTGCCCTTGAGCTCAGTGATATTTCAGTTTCCCAGAGTCTGAGACTCTTAGAGCTGGAAGAGACACTGGAAAGCACCTGTTCCAAACATTCTCATAGGACACCAGGCCCCAGGGACTGGAAGGAGCTTGCCCAAGGTCACAGTGACAGAGGGAGGCACAGAGCCCCATCTCCTTGCCCTTGATCCCAGCCAGCCCCTCTGGGCTTCTGTTTGTCACTGTCCCTTTGTAACAGGACTGTGGTCAGATCACACACATTGCCTATGTGATATCACTGCTAGCTACCCTGTTGAATGCCTTTAACCCCTCACTGTGCTTTCTAGCCTGGGGAAACAGAATGAGATTCTGTCTCCAAAATAAAAAAATTTTTTAAGTGTGATAAAACACATGTCAATAAAATTTATCTTAACCATTTTTAAGCGTACACATCAGTGCATTAAGTACATTCGTGTTGTTATATGACTGTCACCACCATCCACCTGCAGAACTCTTCATCTTGTAACACAGAAACTTTATAGCTATTCAACGATAACTCCCAGCCCTGCCCTCCAGCCCCTGGCTGCTGCCACCCTGCTTTGTATCTTTCTGGATTTGACTACCGTGGATACCTCAGATGAATGAAATCATATGGTATTTGTGCTTTTTTCTCGGCTTCTGTTTGGCTTATTTCACGTGCCATAAGATCGTCAAAGTTCCCCCATGCCGCATATGTCAGAATTTCTTCCTTTTTAAGCTGAATAACATTCCATTGCACGACTGTGCGTTTTGCTTATCCACTCATGTGTTAATGAGCACACAGGTGCGTCCACATTTCAGCTATCATGAATAATGCTGCTGTGAACCAGGATGTACAGATATTGTCAAGACCCTGTGTTCAGTGCTTTGGAGTGTGTATCCATGAGTGGACTTGCTGGCCATTTTATTTTAACTTTTTGAGGAACAGCTGTGCTGTTTTCCACAGAGGCTGCCCCATTTCACCTTTCTTCCTGCAGTGCACAAGGCTCTAATTTCTCCACATCTTTACCAGCACTTGTTATTTTGCTTTTTTTTTTGATAGCAGCCATCCTCGTGGGTGTGAGGTGGTTTGGGGTGCTTTACCTCCATTTCCCCTTTTGTCCATGAACGCCCTGTGAGGGAAGTAAGTCACCGCAGTCACCTTGACATGCGGTAAGCCCACAGGCGCATGGAAGAGCCCCATCTTGGTCAAGCTCCTGGACTGCAGAGCTGTCTGCTTCACTGCCACACTCAGGCTGCCGGGGACCCGGGGAGGAAAGCCAGACACCCGTGTGAACGGTGCCTCTCTGGTCTCAAGGCTGAAAGCCTCAGCCTGACTTTCAGTTTTCCAGACAGCCTCCCTCTGTGGTCCTGGCTAGTCCCTAGATGGCCAGTTCTGATTTCTCCACTTTCCCCAAATCCTTCCTTCTCTCTGAAAATGGAAAGAGTTCTGAATGGGCCACACTGCACCCTCCTTTCTAGGGCCTACCCCATCTCCTGAGCTCTGACTCCCTCCCACCTTCTCAGGGAACCTCACCTCACAATTAGGTCCTCACTCTGGATCACCCTGTACTCAAG